GTGTGTGTGTGTGTGTGTGTGTGTGTGTGTGTGTGTGTGTGTGTGTGTGTGTTTGAGGGAGGCGAGAGAGACAGAAGGAAACTTCAAACGAGATACGTTTAAAGAGTCGTTAGAGAACATCGAGACAGTCACAGTCACAGAAACACAATCCGACCAACAGCTAGTGGAGGGACTGGGAGAAGGAAAAGGTGAAAAAAAAAAAAACTGAACTAGAGAGCGCCTGGGAAGTGATGCGAACCAACCTACAGTAGAGCCAACTGTTTGGGCCCAATTGATTCTGAGCTCCAGGCTGGGGAGCAGAGCTGACCCGGGGTAGAGGGGGTGGGGGGAGGATTCGGGAGGGGCCGCTCCTGGTGTGGGGGTCGACAGGGGCGCTACATGTGCGGACCCGCCTTCCTTTTTGTCTTGCTCCTCCTCCACATCCATATTCAATGAGCCAACCAATGAGGGTGCGAAGATGGGGCCGAACCGTTCGGGGTGGGGCGGGGTCTCTGTGGACCCCACCCTAGGAGCGGTCCCCGGAGGGGTCAGCGCAGAGGCAGATAGCGGATCCCAGGGCGGGGCGGGGCTGGCAGCGGGCGGAGCGGGGCGGGGCCAAAAGTTTCCTGCCCAACTTTCTCTGCCTCCTTCCTCCGCCCGTGCGCGCCCACTGCTGCAGTTCGGGGAGGCGGCAGCGGCGGCGGCGGCTGCGGGCAACGCGCGGGGCGCGGGACACGGGACGCGGGGCGGATAGCCGTCGGGGCCGGGGCGGCTGGCAGTGGGCACAGGCTCCCCGGTGCCCGCCCCTCCGCCGGGAGGGGGGCGCGAGCGGGCGGCCGGGGAGGGGCCGGCACCGCCACGGCAAAATGAGCCTGCTGTCTGCCATCGACACGAGCGCCGCCTCGGTGTACCAGCCAGCCCAGCTACTCAACTGGGTCTACCTGTCGCTTCAGGACACACACCAGGCTAGTGCCTTCGATGCCTTCCGGCCCGAGCCGCCCGCCCGCGCCGCACCCCCGGAGCTGGCCTTCGGCAAGGGCCGCCCGGAGCAGCTGGGTTCTCCCCTGCACTCCAGCTATCTTAACAGCGTCTTCCAGCTGCAGCGCGGAGAGGTGGGTGCCCCAGCGCGCGCCAGCCCCGCGCTCACTACTTCAGGCCCCTCTTCTATCTGTTCTACTCTTCCTGGCATGGCCCAGGCCGGCCCCACATTGCCCGGCTCGGCTTGGCTTGGCTTGGCTTCGATCAGCTCTGCCAAATTTGCCGCCCGAAGTCCCTGGGGCACCGGGAGCGCGTCACCTCTCGGCAGAGCTGCCCGGAGCAGCTCAGGCCTGGGCAGGGCCCTCCCGCCCCCTCTCCGAGTTTGGAGTCCTGCTCCTAGTAAGCAGGCTCAGGGGTGTCTCCGGATTCTCTTCAGACTGCCGGGGTGCGGCTAGGGCGGGGAGCCCCTTTCTAGTCTTTCCTTCACCCAACCCTATCAACTTTTCTGGCTTCCATCCGCTGGGACAGAGGGTTGCAGAGCTTGCTCTGAACTCCTCTGTAAGGGCCTAAAAGAATTCTTTCCCCGACCTCCATAGTTCTTAACCTGGAGGGCTCCCTGGAAAGCAGTTGCTCTTCCAGGGGCTTTTTCTCTTGTTCCCACCACTTGGGAACCCCTAGATCCACCCTGCAGCTGCTTGCCCTCCCCCAGGCACATAGGAAGTGGTTTTTGAGGGCTTGACCTAGCCGACTGTTCTGTCCCCTGCCTTCCCAGGCTGGAAGGAAATGAAAGGGAAATCCTTGGGGGGGGGGGGGGTTAGGCTGTGGCGATGGGAGGGCTCCAGCTGCCTAGTGCCTTCTCCCAAAACCTGGGATGTGTTGCAAAGGCTGTTTGTTCAATGGATTCGGTTACAAAGTCTACTGGACAGTGCATGTTCCTAGCTAGATAAATACACAGGTGGCCGTGACCTCCCAGCCCCCTTTGTAGGTCTTATCCAGAGCCTTCCCAGAATCCACCTACCAACTGCACCTCGCACCCCGTTTACTCCATTTTGGAAATTGCTGATACCCTCTGTGCCTTTCCCTTGCCCCCGTTTGGTTTCCCTCTGCTAAAAGGTGCAGCAGGTAGATGGACGCACACGGGAATCACTTTCACCTCTGACCCAGAGGTGACTGGGAGTAAGGCCTGTATATGCTGAGATGTGCTGGGGTTGAGATGTGTTGCCAGGAGGTCACCCTGTCTGATCTCAGGTATGTGTTCAACACTGCCATGGTTTATGGGAGGACTCACAGACATGTGAAACACTGGTGAAAGGCCAACACCTCTGAGGCTGCCCTGTGGAATAGAAGAGATGCCCGAGGGCTGGGTATAGGGGCAAGACTGGAAAGGTGCCTGAAGAGCCCGGGGGAGAGCATTTGTATGCTATAAACCATAACACATGCTTTCTGCCCTGAGGAATGGTTCCTGGCTGGGATCTTCCTTTCTTGTGACAATTTGTTGTCTATTGGGGAGCTGGCTTTAGGTGACCAGTGACTTTGGAGAACTGTTTGTGGAGTATTTCTTTATTGGCTGGGTCTTTTCCATTATTAATTCTCTTAGCAAATATTTGTTGAGTTCTACACAAGGACAGGGATGAGGAGCCTGGAGCTGGGGGCCAGAGGGAGCATAAACAATATGTGTATGAATGGAAGGTGAATGATGGGGTGCTATCATGACTCATACTTGGATAGAGTTGCACTCAAGGGAGCATCTTTCATCTAGGGAGAAGATGACCATGACCCAGAGGTCTCATGACCCAGCAGGGTCCCTAACGAGCTTTTACTAGACTTCCTCAGCTCCCACATGGTTTCTGTTGGGGTACCCATCAGAGATCCCATTTTTGGAAATTTCAAGCCTCCAGGACCCCAGCTGTGGTTCAGTGAGACCTACCTCTTACCACTTCATTGCTGTGTTCCTCAGTTTCCCCCTAGGAAGTGGCCCAGTGTGGGAGGAGCTGGAGCAATAGTGGGTGAAAGGAGCTTGTCTCTCTGGACCTCAGCTTTCCCTTGAGTAGATTGAATCTTGGTTGTCGCCCAGGGGGTGGGTATGTTAAAGGTTGGAGGTATACATAAACAAGTATCTGCCCATAGGCAGCCTGGGGTGGAGATCAGAGGGACTTTTCACACTTTAAAGGCTTCCATGGAGGGCTGGAGAGTTGAGCCTGTTGACTTCCAGAAGCCTCTCTTGGGTTCTGGCTTTCTCATCCTCACCTCCTAGCCCTTGGCTTCTTAAACTCTCTCAACCCCCTAGTTGTGTTCTTGGGGCTTTGTTGGTGTCCTGATAGGGCTGAGAAGGTGAGACCACCCCCCCAACACCCAGTCAATGCTGGGTGCAAAGGCAACAAGTTCTTTGTCACAAGAAGTAACTTTAGGAAGGGACCTAGGGTCTGTCCACAAGCATTGCCATTCTGTTCAAAGCCTGGCAGGCCTGGTGGCGGTGCCTGTGGATGTGACTTGCATGCTGACCGCTGACCATAGCCTGTCTGCACCAGCCCCTGTGCCAAGAGCCCACCCCCTCCTGCACCGCCCCCAGGCTGCTCCCTCCACAATAGCAAAACACCATGAATGCAGCTGGCATTGGGGGAGGTGAGGACACGGGGCCACAGAAGCCTATTGTGCCCCTGGAACCTCAGCCCTGGGAGCTGAAGATAAGCCAAGGGTCCTGAGTAACCCTCTGGCCCTGGGAACAGAGAGGAAGAAGTTTACATACAAGTGCAGGCCAGGTTCCAGGAGATAGCCTTCAGGTGGAAGTGTGTTAAAACCCTTCTGGGTTCTGAAATGAGGTCTGGTAAACTCTTTCAGAAATGGCATCTGTGGTCACAGCTGGATGTCTTCAGAGAGAGAGAGAGAGAGAGAGAGAGAGAGAGAGAGAGAGAGAGACAGACAGAGAGACTCCTTGGCTGAGCCCCTCTCTCCAGGTGCTACAGGAGGTGGGGCTTAGGAGGGGGGGTGGAGAGTGGACTGCGTGGATCTTCCTTGCCAAATTCTGTTTGGAATTTAAATTCCCAGTAGTGTAGACACCACAAGTTCCACTTCTGCAAAAGTAGAGTTAAGCATTACCTCTTGGACCTTTGGAGGAGTTCTCAGAGCCGGTCCTGGCAGGCTTTTTTATCCCACTCTGACACAGCAGGGAAATGAGGCTGCCCCATGTCATTCAATTCAGATTCTTAGGACAAGTTTCCCTTTTTCTCTGAGAATAGATGTAGCTGGGAAGTGCGGCTCCACCGTGGAATGACCACCCCTCCTTTGTGCCTGCTGGGAGAAATGAGGGCACAAATAAGCCTGGGAAGCACAGCATACTCACCATCATCCCTTCACTCACACAGTGCTCGCCAGCATGGTAAAGGCTCAGAGAAGTCCTGTCATTCAAACTGTGTTATCAAGTCTTCAGCCCCAACATCTCCTAGACTTAATTCAACCAGAGGATGATTTTGGCTCAGGAGAGACGGGCCAGTGTTCTTCCAGCAAGGAGAACACATAGGAGAAAAAAAAAAAAAGGAAGGCCTTGTACAAGATTCCAGATGGAAGAAGTGGCTTGTATCTGTATTCCTAGCATAGGAGGATTACCATGAGTTCAACAGGGCCAGCCTGGGCTCAAAAAACAACATAGGGCTGGGGGGAGGGATGGGTGGGTAAAAGCTCCTGCCACCAAGCCTGACAACCTTAGTTTAACCCCTGGGTTACGCATGGCAGAAGGAGGGAACCAACTCCTGCAAGTTGTCCTCTGACCTCTGTATGCATGCTGCGCTGCGGTGTGAAGCCATAAACACACACAGCTAAATAAATAACTGCAAACACGAAAACAAACAAACTAAAGTCCCCAGCCTAGACAGTTGTAGGGAGTTTGGATGAAATGCCACCTGTGCCTGCAGCAGGTATCCAGAGGCTCCTCAGTGTAGACCGCAGTGTGGAGCAAAGTCACTCTCCTCCCTAGTGGGGGGCTAACCTGCTCCCATAGCCTCTGTGGCCTGCTTGAGGTGGGAGGCAGGCAGCTCGAACCTGCGAGGAATGTCCCAGAGGTATGACTAGGGAAAAGTCCCCAAATATCTGACCCCTCCCCTTGGGATGCTGAATAGCAAGGAGGCTGACACTTGGGAGGGGTTGTCACAGGCAGCTAAACTCTGCTCTGTGAAGTTGACTGCGTAGGTAGGTCTGGGCTCAGAGGGAGGCCAAGCCTTGGACCATATAAATCAGGTGTAGGGAGGGCAAGGGCTTCAGTAATAAATGATCAGTGGCAACAGAAACCCAAGGTGGGCTAAGTAGGGAGTAGTAAGCAGCAAGCTGCCCTGTTTTGTTTTCTGAGGAAGGACCTCGCCCTAGCCCAGGTTGACCTTGAACCCAGGACAATATTTCTGCTTTAGCCTCCCAAGTGCTTGGAATAACAGCATGAGCCACCATCTCCAATGGGACCATGAACAGCAAGGCTCTAGAATACAGTTTCTTGTGGTTTCCATTATCTAGAGAGCAAAGCAGAGGCCTGGTTGACTCAAGCTATCAACAGAGCTAGATCTAAATCAATTCTGCATCCCAGCCTGGAGCTGTCTCTGTAGCCTGTGTTATAGCTGGTCTCCAGGCTAGCTCCTACTTGCATCTTCCTTGGGCTCCTGTGTATATCAAATCCTGGGACTTCCTATCAAACCACGGTGCCTCTGATGGTTTGTCTGGATCCAAATCTTTTTTTTTTTTTTTTTTTTTTAAGACAGAGTCTCATATAGACCAGGTTGGCCTCAGACGTGCTCTGTAGCTAAGGATGACCTTGAACTTCTGATCTCCCTGCCTCCACAAGTACTGGGACGACAAGGCTATGCCATCATGTCCTGTTTAGGTGGTGCTGGCTATTAAATCCATAGCTTCCTATATGCTATGTAAATACCCTACCAAGAGCCACATCCTCAGGCCTGAACACCAACTCTTTTGAAGAGTCATGGGCTCTTGTGTAGGTACTGGGTTTCTTAATATGTTCCTTCTCTGATTGGCCTGGTTTAGGAGAAACAGAAGAGAAAAACCATAATTTCTATTTTATGCCTATGTCCCTGCCTGGGGCAGTTGCTCTGTTGTCCAGAAGAAGAGGTTGCATTCAGAGACCTAGGGACAGAAC